AAACAACTTAAAGAGATCTGCATGGAGACTCATATATAGGGAATTGGCACAGCACAGGTCACTAGGAAACATTGGCACCCAGAAAGTGACTGCTGCACACCTGTCAGAGTGGCTGCAACAGCAAAAATACTTACAACAAGGGCGGAAAAAGGCACAGGGGACTGCATGGCTCGTACACCATAAAGCACACTGGCAAGTCATTCAGTACTCTCCTAAAAGCTAAGCACACAACTACTGCACACTGAGCAAGCACTTTCAGGCCATAGGTATAAAAGCTGATGCTCACATAAGAGCCTGCGTGTGAACGCTGCACTTGTGACAGCACCAAATTTAGCAAACGGTCCTATCCTGCAGTGAAAGAATAAACAAGCATGGTGCATCCACACCCTGGGTGATTTACCATTCAAAAGGAACTATTGACACATGAGGCTGCTCTCAGAAGAATCGCCACAGAATGAGGCTGAAGTTTGGATAAATAAAAGCCAGTCTCCAAAGATGGCATACTGCAATCCATATTATCCATTCCTAGTCAGGCTGCTGTTGTGATTAACAGCATGATCAAAAGCAACTGGGGAGGAAAAAGTTTCTTTTGGCTTACAAATTACAGTCCATCACTGACAGAAGTTAAGACAGGAGCTCAGGAACCTGGAGCAGAAACCTGGGAGGGTACTGCTTACTGGCTTGCTCAATCTGCTTTCTTATAAAACCTTGGACCACATTCTGGGGAGCGACTCCGCCCACAGTGGACTGGGCCCACCCGCAACAATTAATCAAGAAAAAGCCCCACAGACTTGTCCACAAGCTGATCTGTTGGAGGCAATTCCTCAGTTGAGATTCCCTCCTCCCAAGCCACAGGCGCTTGTGTCAAGTTGACAAAAAATAACTAGTGCACTTCAAAAATGACAAAATTACAGTAGGGAGACACGAGGAGTAGCTACCAGAGTGACAAATGTATCTCATGCATCAGGCTCCTGCCACCCAAGACACCAGATACCTGCCAACCAGACACTACCCCGTGGCACAGAGGCAGGAACCATTTACACTGATGGGCTGAGGTCTGCTCTCACGCCTCCGCCTTGCCCCCAGAAGCTGCACTGAAGGCCTTTGCTCTCCAGGCCCCTCTCCATCGTGCCCCTTCCCCACCTGGCCCTGCCCAGCAGCAAGACATGCCTGTTCCTTTAGGAATCCTCTTTTCACGAGCAATCTACTTCTGATCCAGCGATCACACACCATGTGATTAAACTCAGGACCCTGGTTCTGAAGCCATGTTAGAGTTTCCAGATACACCGAGGGGCAAAGGCACACACTGGTCTCAGACAAAAGGCTGAGTGGTTGCATTAGTTCTTAAAGTGCATACAAATTCTTAATTACCTCACAACTTAAATTTCAAGTTTAAAAAAGAAAAACTAACTTCTCTATCAATCCAAATGAGGCTTTATTTTTTATAAATCTTAGCAAAAGTGAACTAGACATTTCTGTGAGCAAAAGGAAGCATCAAGAGAGTTGTCCTCCCACCCCCCATTGTCTGAGGCAGCCTATGGGAAGCCCTGGAAGTGCATGCCTGGGGGGTCAAGAGAGGCCACAAGAGAAGATACCTCCTCCCAAGCAGCCAGAGGAAGCCACGGTGTCTGATAGACTTCCTGAAGCAGCCTTGATGGCCTCTTGCACAATGATGGTCACTGTACTCACTACACCAAGCACCAAGTGTGTCCTCCTCTCAAGAGTAGGTCTGTCCCCAAACACTTCACAGAAGTTTCCCAGATTCAAGCCACAGGACACTAGGGCCCAAGGGCTGGTCATAAAGCCACCTTCCATGTTTTCAGTAAATCTTGGTTTAAAGTATTTTTATTTTCTATCAAAACAACAAAGAGGAATACCTGGTGCCTTTATCAAAACAAGCTTGGCTCTGAAAAGACACAGCCTGTGACATAGGATTGTGGGGTGTGGGGACCTCCAAGCCCCCATTCCCTTGCTCAGGAGCAGTCCCTTGCTAGCAGGGCCACAGGGGACAGGGGTCCACAGGGGCCAACGGGGGCGTGATGCCCCTTATCGCTCACCTGCTACAGGTGTGGCACAGGAGACAGAGCCCCTGTGGACCAGAGGCGTCCTGTCCTCTGGCTTTGAGGGACCTGAGTGACAGCCCCAGTCAGTCCAGAGGAACAACTGTGGCTCACATGTTCTACTTGATATCTATCTACCACATGCTTCAGGGAAGAGCTCGCCACCCGCCTCCTGAGGGCTTTGATTCCTTAAGCTTTATGGAAACACACAGGCTTTCTTGACCCTGCTTTAGCACTGAACAGATGGTTTTGTGTTTTGTGGGGTTTGTTTTTTGTTTTTAATCTTCCTGCCTTGGTGAGTGACTACTGGCCCCTCATTTTCAGGTTTCCAATTTTAAACCTGTGTGTCCTTTTGCTCCCTAAACCCAACCCACTACCCAGAGAAAAGCTGACTTGTCTCCGTGTACGCACAGCATTCTACATCTGATGCTTCAAACATCGGCAGCCCCAGTGATTCTGAAGACACCTGGGTATGTTGGGCATCTATAAATTATGCAGGACCAGCAGTTTTGAAGAAATGTTTTGTTGCCTAATTAGTTTCAACACTATAGAAAGGAAGGGAGATGAGAAGAGGAGGGAAGGAAGGAAGGGGTGGGCAACTCACATCAGCCCCATGGGGGCTGCACGGATGTCAGAGGCCACCACCAAGGCCGGCTTCCCAGCACACAGCAGCAGGAAGGAGCGAGCGTCAAACAATGAGACCCCGCCACCCCTGCCACTCTCTGATGGTGTTGGGCTTCACCAGACAGGCCCTGCCCACGTGTACCCTCTCTGACCCTGGAATCCTTCCCATTTGTGCCCAGGCAGCTTGAAACCTGCCTGCCTTTGTGCCAGGGAAAAGAGCTGCTCCGGGTGTCAACAGGTCCAGCTCCCACCCCCACCTTCCCCCGCTGCTCCTCAGAGGCCTCAATACCCAGCCCTCTCACGCACTTCCCTCCCACTTCCAGCCCCCAGTCTTGCTTCTAAGCCTTCCCCACACTTTCCTGAGACCTAGCCCCATCTCCGAGAGCAGATTCCATCAGCCTGTTACTCCAAGACCTGGACATGTGGCTGAAGGACAGAACGGGGCAGCCGTGCTAGACAGCTTTTCTTTCTATGCAGCCTGTGGTTCAGCACATCTGGTGACTAATGGCAGGAGGCTGGTCAGAAGCTGGTCAGAGCACCTCGCCGTGGGAGGCAGGGAAGGAGGGGTTAACCCTAGACAGACTCTACACTGAGAGTGGTCTAGCTTCCAGCTGCCACAGGCTTCCTCATCTTCCGGTCAGTTCTTGGAGCCGTCCCAGAACATTCCTGCACTTGGATGACTTAATACGGAACTCCAGATGAAAGAAAGGGACGAGCCTCCTGTCACCCTAACCCTCCACACCTTTCCCCTTGAACTCAGGGTTCTTGGGAATGAGACGTTTAGCTCAGAAGAGGCCAGAGGCCAGAGAAGAGAGGACTACCACCCCTCTCCCAGAAAGAGCTCTTAGAGGAGCCTCGGGCCACGTGCAGGCTGGGTAATTACAGGCGAGCTAGCTTAGCCTCTTGGCCTGCTCACCTTCCACTATGCATGGTGCGGCATGATGGTGAAATGTGCTTATTAATTTCACTTGTTTGACACCACACTCTCCTGCCCTAAGCTAAATGTTAGAAGAAAATGATAGGGATAGATTGTGCCCCTGTCAGGCTTCCAGAGACTTTCAGAAAGTCAAGCTATCAAAGGCCATCTGCAGCCCACTAGCCAAGCAGTCTGAGTGACCCCAAAGGTGCAGCCGGAACACTACAGATACTGATGGACAGAGAAGAGCAGGAAGATGTAAGACCCAGGCCTGGGGCTTGAGCCTCCTGCAAACCGTGCAGGGGGCCCTGGGTGGTCCACAAACAGACCAGGCACCCCCAGCCCTGGCTGATGCACCAAGTGCATCTCAGACCCAATTCATCAAAACACACTTTGGCTTCTCAAATCAGGAGCCTTCCCCAAGAGTTTCCTGGCACAAAGCCATACCTAATGATTCTATTTTATGAAAGGTTATGCATTCCAACTGGGCTTTGAAGACAGGGGGCTGGCAAGACGCAAATCTTTGTCAAAAAAGACCTGCTCTCTTCGCTTTTCAACGCTTGGGAAGGGGAGTTTCCATTTTCTTGGGTTTGTTGGTGGTGGTGGTGGTGTTAGTGGTGGTGGTGGTTGTGGTTGTTGTTGTTAGTTGTGGAGATGGTGGTGGTGGTGTTGATGGTGGTGGTGGTGGTGGTATTGTTATTGTTGATGTTGTTGGTGATGTTGGTGTTGTTGGTAGTGGTGGTGATGTTGATGGTGTTGTTGTTCGTGGTGGTGGTGGTTGTATTGCTATTGTTGGTGTTGTTGGTGATGTTGGTGGTGGTGTTGTTGATGGTGGTGTTGGTGGTGGTGGTGTTTTTAACGGGCTCCTCTTTCTGCAGCGAGGATCTGATGCAAACTGACGAGAGAGGTTCTCAGTCAGGATTTTGTTCACTAACCCTTTCCTGGGGACATCTAGAAACATCTGGGGGTGTTCTTTATTTCAGCTAAGTAGAGGTCACGGATGCTGCACACAGACTATGAGGCACAGGCAGCCCCATGACAAAGAGTTACCTGATTATTGGCCTGACATTGGGGAGCCCTGACCGTACAGTAAGCTAATCACTGCACAGGTTCCAGCTACCCACAAGGACAGCACACTCAGAACATTTACACTCCTGGGAAAATACAAGACAAGCCCCAGGGTCCTTCCTAAATCCTTTTCATTAAGTATCAAAACCAGAGGTGCCTTTGGAAATGAATGTGAAAAATGGCCAAAGACAGGAAGTCACCCCCGCACCCATGACCACAGCAGGCCCTCTGACTCCCTAAGCAAGATACTCCCGGCCACCTCTAGCTGTGACTTTCCTCTTTTGGTCAATCTAGTTCCCAGAGACAAGTGACAAGCTAGCACTGTGTCTTACCACATCATAGCCCGTCGGGGCTCGGTTCCGGGAGGCCACCACTCCGACTCCGGTGATGGGGTCCATTGGTGTCTCTGGCAAGGCTTCTGAGAGCTCTTTGACTTCAGGCATGGTGGCGTGGTCCTGGTTTGGAAAAGGAAATGGAGAGCACAAAATTCAAACTCAGTGTTTATGTGAATGAGGGAGGTCTCAGAGACGGCAAATCCTGGGAAAGCTATCCTCAGCTGAGATCTACATTCCTTACCTTGCCTTATCTGACCCTGAACTCAGATCAAGAATTCACCCGCCACACCTCAAGCTGTTAGCATGGAATGCTGAGGGCTCCTGTCTGCTTCCAGGAAGTAATTTCAACTCAAACCCAAAAGCACATTACTGTATATTCCAGGCGTGTCTTGTGTCTTGAACTCCTGTCCTTCTGCCTCTACCCCGAGTGCTCATATTACAGGCATGTACATCTAGTTTTGTATAGCACTAGGGATGGATCCCAGGGCTTTATGTAGGCCAGACTAGCATGCTACTCACTGAGCTACCTGCCCAGCCCCGCCTTATCCTTAACTCTGCTCCCAACTGCCTGATTCCTGAATGAGGACCAATACTAAATAAGCCGCCCCTAGCAAAGTCTCAGAGAAACCTCCATCCCTCATAATACAGTGTTACCATAAGAACTAGGCTTCCAAACCTACAGCTTATCCATACCACAGCCAGACATTCAACAGAAAACGCAATGAACTCCAAAACCAGAGACAGCATTTGGGGCATGGGCACAGGTGTGTGGGGCTCTGGACTCCACACTTACAAGTTAGTGTCTGAACAAGAAATTAAACCTTGGGGAGCCCCAGCTTTCTCTCAACTGTAAAAGGAGGTCTTGACCCACTCCCCAGCTGTTGCAAACCCTGAGAAAGGATATGAAAGAAGGCTCAGAGAGGTTCACGCCACACAGAAGGCACCCGGTGGACTGGAGGGCTTAGGAGCACATGGATTCTGGCTTGGGCCAGACACAGGAGGCACCATGCACTCGGGTCTGGCCCACTTCTCTGTCCAGTTTAACGGCCCCGGTTAAGGGGCGCTTACTCGAAGCTCAGCACTAGCAGTGACCCCGATTCTCACTGCCCGCTTCAGCACCGGACCAGCGGAGGAGGCTGGAGAAGTATGGAGAGCAGTGGGCCTGGCCGCCTGCCTGAGTGGCGGTGCCCAAAAACCAAATAAAAACAGCAACACCTGATGCAGAGTACTTTTACAACAGTGAATTCCACCTCACTCTGAAGCAACCATGGCCCACTCACTGGCTGCTGTGCTCTCAAAGCTGGCTACAGTTTCAAAAGCAAACCAAACAACATCCTGCCTAAAGAGACAGCAGGAGGCAAGTTCCTGCTCCTCAGCCTATCAAAAAGGCACTGGCGGCTCACAAGGCTGTAGCCTGCCTCACAGAAACCACCAAAATGCTACACACAGGTCATCCATTTAGTCAGCAGAGCCCACAAAGCACCCCAGAAACAGGCGGTACCTGGCACCCCTTCCTTCTTAGCCGAGTTACAGTTATATTTCATTTGCTTATACTGAAAATAAGCTCCCAACAGCCCGGGGCGGGACGTGGAGACCCTGCCACGCCACTCTACCCTTTCCTTGGTTCGTTTCACTTTCTAGCAGGCTTTATCTATAGCTTAGTGCTCTCACACCCGGGAGGTATTAAGCAAATATTTACCAAGTGACTCCACATGTGTGACCCCAATATGGGTTTAGGGTTAAATACCTGCACCTGCCCAATCCAGAGCAAATCACTAAACAAAATGCCTCTGCCCCCTGAAAAATCCTGTATTATGGGGAACATAAAAACCACAAGGCTGCAGTTTGCAAAATATTGGTACCTGCTGTCGGTTACCAAAAATGCTTTGCAATTAACAACTCATTAGCGGAATGTACGAACCCTGCCAGTGTTAAATATCATGCTGTGAATTTAATAAAGAACATGTGAAACAAAAAAAAATTTTAAATACTAATGCCTTTACTATCAAAGAGAAAGAGGAACGGAGAATGGAAAGGAGAAAAAGAAATGAAAGAAAGGAGAAGAGGGATGGAAAACGGAGGGAGGGAGGGAAGCAGAGAGACATTAAGCCAGCACACACAAGGAATATCTAATTTGCTGGGAGATGGCAATGCACTCCACAAGGCATGATGACAGGGGTTCTCTTGCTTGACACAAGGGGACTGTGAGTATGCTTGCAAGGGGAAGAGGCTGCTCCCACAGTGCACCCAGGGAGGAACCCAGCAGCAGTTTCCAAGATGGCTGCAGCCAGCCTCCAACTGAAGCAGACAAAGGGCTGGGCCTGGGAGCTCAGGAACCCAGCCTGCCCAGCCCACAGCAGGTCTGGCCCAGCCAGCAGTCATCTCCATGCTCGCCCCGCCTCTCTCCCCTGGTTTGCTGCTGTGCCCTGGGGATCAAGGCAGCCTTTGTGCCTAGGAGACAAATGGCTGTTCCAGGGCTGCGGCCTACTTGGTGGTGGGGCACGGCCGATACCAGCCAAGGAGCCTCTTAATGAGAAACGCTCAAGATATCCATGGCAGAGGCCATCGCTCAAAGTGGCTTGCCCTGAATTACATATTTTCTGACTGCAAATTACTTTTAACAGCATCTCCACCATCACTTCAATTGACCTTCCTAACAAAAGGCCATTTATTAACTTGCACTCCATGTTTCCTCAGGCTGCTCGGAGCCTCCAGCCAGAAGGGAAGGCGCAGGAGCTGAACGGTACCCTGTCACCCAGGGTCGTGGGCCAGGCCTCTGCCAGGAAGAAGAGGGACCGTGAATGAGAGCCTAATAGAGGGCCAGGAGGGAGAGCAAAGGAGCATGTCTTCAAGACCATCATTGACCTGCCAGGCAGGAGGTGACTGGTAAAACACTAAAGGCCTTCCTGCGCCAACTCTTGCTCCTCCTTAGTGGCTCCTCAGCTGTGTGAACACACCCCTGTTAAGTTTGTACAGAACTCTGTAAGTCGGCTGAAACTCGCCTCAGAGCAGGAGGGCCCACCAAGCTAGCCTTATAAGGGGAAACTGAGGCTTGTTCCCAGGCCCCGGCAGCTGGCAGAGGCACCCTCCTCAACCTAGCCTGTGCTATGCTTCACTGCACACAGAGACCAACATCCTGACCAAATGGGAAAGCAGTTTCAACACTAATTATATTTTAAAATGCCAAAGCACTTCTTTCCCTGGCCATAGCTCAATAAGTCAAGCAAAGGGGAAGAAAGTACAGAAAGATAAAAGTAACATGGGATTAATTTTCCTCACACCTCAGTTTTGAGATTCAACATTCCCCTCATAAATAATTTACAACAATAAAAATGAGCTAAGGCCATGTTTGTGTAGGACAGAGGTAAATTCAGGCCTAATGAGGGAGATCTGAGCTCGGCACAGGACGGAATGGGTTGATCTATGGCCTGGTGTGTGCAGGATCCACAGCACACAGGGGCTCCATTACCAAGCACTAGCAGCAGGGCTGACCTAGAGGAAGGGAGCCCAGAGGCTGTGCCATCCAGCTGCAGCTGCAGGAAGGTGTCCACAGGGAAAGCCAGAGTAGACCCCTTAATCGGGTGGCTGAGCCAATCTGAAACCCAGTGGGTCTCAACACACACCAGGTAAGGAAGCATGGTGTTGAGCACTCGAGAGTCACGTCTTCTCTTGGCCATGGAGACAGTGACCTTGAACTGGTTTCCCAATGTAACCTTCCAGGTCATCAGATGTCAGTCCCCAGTGGCCTTTCCTGAGTGGGGGCACGTGACCTCTGCTGGATCATTCCCAGGCTGAGGGCTGCAGAACCCTGCTCCAGGCATCTGCTGTTGTGTCTCCCCGAGAGATCCCTCCTCCAGACAAGGGTGCGTGAACAGCACAAGGTGAAGAGAGTATGGTCTTCCGAGGGGAGGGGTCTTCCCCCACTCCACGAGGTTTGGTCCCCCACAGTAAGGCACCTCAACAACACTGTCATCCCAGGCTCCCAGAGAAATGAGCTTTAACTATGAAGCCCTCTCACAGTGTGGGTGCTGATCAAAGAGTTACCCATCATGCGCTTACTCCCTAAAAGTCAGCAGTTCTGGGCTTAACTGATGCTGCTCATTGTTTCAAAATCAAAGGAGAAAGTGAGGCTACTGTAGCACTGCTGAAAACTCCGGGCAACTCTGATATCATCTCTGTTTAATTTCCACAGCCTTAGTGAGCCTGGGGTTTATCTGGTCCTATCAGCTCCAATACTGAAATCAAAACCCAGCTAACAATGCACAGTCCCTCCACAGAGGCCCTTCCAGCGGTGGGGAGTGGACTGGAAGTTTAAAGTGTTTTCCAGGGCAAGGCCTACAGGAGGCAGGAGCTGCAGCCTTCAAAGGAGGCGTGGCCTCCCTGCAGAGTATGGACAAGGCTGCTTCAGAAGCAGCGCCAGCACTGCCCACCAGGGCTAAAGGCATGATCACATATCTTACGAAAAGAGTAATTTCAAATACAAAGGGGGGGGGCAGGTTAAACTGGCCGACCGTAATGGAAATGGCAAAAATCAGTGGGTTAATTCCCTGCAGAAGGATGAGCTATGTTCAGCTTGCTTGGAGTCCAAGCTCAAGGGCACCAAAACACAACCTGTCTTCAGCCTGCTGTTTGTGGGGCAAGAAAGGAGAGGGACATGGAGACGTGCTCACTCTCCAAGGGCACAAGGGCAGACTCTCCCCAGGGAAGCTGCAGCTACAGTCAGGTGTCCTCAGGCAAGGAGGGCTCTATGACTCCCTCCCAGGGGCAGGGACGGTCTCTGGGACCTCCCAAGCATGAGCACCTTTCTGCAAGGAAGAGATAAAAGGCACAGCCCTATGCTAAGGAAGGTGGACTCTGGCTGGGCCTCCACATCACACACACACCACACAGAAGACTTGCCCCATCTGGGGCTTCAAGCTGAGACCAGGTGATATGCAGCCCCTGAAACAAGTACAGCCAGCCATCAGGCTGCCCGAGAGGGACAGTGCACAGCTGAGGGGCATCTGCTTGGGAGCCTCACAGAGGACCCGCTCCACCTGCACGCAGGCATGAGCACAGCTAAGTTGGTGACCATCAGAAGTCAAATCCCTGGGCCACTGACTAGGGGATACCAGGAATGA